GCCTGAAGAATCCTATGTGGATATTCCCTGTTGTTCTCTGCAAAGAGCTGGAAGCTCAGCCTGAAGAATCCTATGTGGATATTCCCTGTTGTTCTCTGCAAAGAGCTGGAAGCTCAGCCTGAAGAATCCTATGTGGATATTCCCTGTTGTTCTCTGCAGTGAGCTGGAAGCTCAGATCAAGGTCTGCCATGCTAAGCCTGAAGCTAGACACTTAGCTTCCCATGAACTCTGCTAACCAACTGTTTCCAGTCCCAGTGCATTGACCTTGTGTGTTCTTTCATTTAATAAACATTTGAACTTTTTCCCTGCCTCGTCCGTGTGTGTTCTGCATCTTGGGCTTGCCTCTTTAACCCATCATGACAATATCATTACCATATATAGCTGGAAAAAAACAGAAGTTTTCCAAATAGGATATATATATATATATATATATATATATATATATATATATATATATATATTGTTTTTATAAAATGTTTTTCTTGAATAAAGAAATAGTATCTAGTAATTTTAGAACACATTTAGTTTATTGATAATAGCTAGACAGCTTAACTGAGAGAGATACAGTAGGTATTTGTTTGTCATTTAGAGTGACAAATTCTTTCAGTGTAAAGCTTACCCCTACCCCCTCCAAAAGAGCCCAATCATAATTAACCGAGGCAGTGTCTAATTAGAAGCTGAATAAATCCACACAGGAAAGACTGATTGGTTCATTTTCTTCAACCACCTACCACCTGTTTTGCTCGATTCATTACCCAATTTGTTAATTTTATCTCCTCGTTCTCCAAGTTTAATTAAAGGATGAAGAGGCCAAAGATGACATTTCAACCCTTCTTTCATTCCCACCCTGAGCCAACCATGGTTAACCTCAGATGTCGCTTATGACCCTGAGTGCATTCTCAGATCAAAGCAAGATCACACACCCTTTCTCTCAGCATAAGACAAAGGGAGATCAGAGATGGAAGCATTTTACACAGCTATCTAAAATAGCTGTGCATGACAGCTGAAACTCAGAAAAATTTGATTGAACAACATCATAATCAAAAAAGTAATAACGTATTTTATGTGTATGAAAGTCCTGCGACAAGCAAATTACAACCTAGAGATATGACTGGCAGTATTTCTCTTTAGGACAGATTCAAGTGCTGCTTTTAATGCTAAACTATGCAGAACAAAAACTGTTTTCATAATCAAGTAGCATGCTTGACTTGTTTTTCTTTGATAGTGTGAGGTGTAGCCCTTTTTTCTAAATATATGCACTGTCTTCTATAATTATTAGCCCCAACGGTAAAGGTATATAAAAAGCTTTTAAATAAATCCATTTTTTATTGCAGGTTCACAATCTAACACGAAAATAAAATACAAAAATTATCTTTAACTGAATATATTTATTTGGGGAGACAACAAAGTTATTTTAGAGTTATTTTGGAAGAATATTTTAATCTAACAGTTGGTTCAATGCATAAACCAACTCTTGGATTCAGAAGGAGGACTGTAAAATTAGTTCTGGCCAATAAAAGGGGATAAGCTCTTCACCCTTGTGGAAGTGCTGAGGGCCAAGAGAGTTGGGTCATGCTGTTTACATGAGTTTTATGGATCAAAGTAGCAGAAACATTGCTACAGGAGAACAGCCTTCCAAAGATGGTTTTAAGACATATCCGGTCTTGCACCGGGTCAGGTACCTGCAGATATCTGGCGAGTACCCATATAAAATGGTGTAGAGGTGTAGAAAAAAACCAAAACATATTATTTCATGGGTGTGGGCACGGGTATAATTGAAAAAATGCCAGCAGGTTTAATACAGAGAGTTACATCATGAATGAAACTTATTTCTTATTTATTAACTCTACATCTGAAACAATTAATTGATTCAAGAATATCCAGATAACAGTCTTTTTTTATAGCAATCTTTCTTACTTCGGCCAATTTACAGCTGTTAATCTGTGACAGCAGTGCGCACTGGATGTGAGGGTGAGGCAATGTTTTTTTACTGCCTCTGTTAGTATAAACGACTGTGTGTAAACTTTTTGATCACGGGTCGGGTCACACCTTATTATTTACAGGTCCGTGCTGTCCTGGCCAGGTTTTAAATGGGGATAACTGCGGGT